TAGCATGTCTTGCCACACACATTTGCACACATAGACAGGCTGACACCCTCCTAACCTCCACCTCTCGTTCACACATACACACAACACACTTGCCACCCTGCTCAACACAGGCATGCAATAAGAAACAAGTCGACAGCTACACAGCAGGCAATATCCCCTTCCTTCAGCCTCGGTGCCTGTTTCGGATGCATCTGGTTAGTAAAAGCTGACAGAGGGCCGGCCATGCCTCAGAGGACAGCAGAATGAGGAATTTCGGCGTTCCTCCACATCACCCCTGAGATGCAGGAAACACACAGGAGTGCCCCTACCCCCAACACACACACACACACACACACACACACACACACACACACACACACACATACACACAAAAACACAACTTGTGATGTGCTCCCAAGATTCCCTGTCACCAGGAATGGAAATCGAAAGCGGCACACACATCCGTTATCTAAATGTTAACTCCAGTGCCCTTCTTGTTGTCACAGCCGGGTGAGGTTAGCCAACACTAGGTGAGGCGCTTTGCTTTGGGCCTCTGCCATGGTACACGCCTCTCAGTAGGGAGAGAGGAAGAGTACGATGCAAACCAGTCGCATCAGAATAGGAGCTTATTGTCCTTTTATGAGTTTTGTGACATTGTGAAAGCAAAATAAAGCAAGGAACTCTCTGATTTATTGTGCCACAAAGTCAAGTTCCATTTAAATGTTTTGGTTTATGACTATTTGATTTGTTAATAGTTTGATGCAAGCGAATGCGCCTGTCCCTTTATTGTATATTTATTTGGTTACCAGACATTAAATCTAAATATTTAAATTCAAATTAGATGAATAAGATTTTATGGAATGCAGTAAAATGCAGTGGAATTCATTTTTAAAAACATGTCCACTGACCTTGTCCTACAGAAAAGTCATGTCAATACAAATAGTGGCACCAACATTGCTCATAAACAGGAGTCAGTTCAAGGAATTATGTCAAAATTAATTGTGATTGATTGAGTGAAGTCAGGAGATGCTCTACAGCAGACCCCTGCTTGCTGACAGTAGCTGCTCATCTTCTAGTAGATCAGTTCTAGTAGAAGATTATGTCACATTCAAACATTTGATTTGTAAACCATTCCTTGTGCCTTCTATTATCCCTTTGTTGGCTGCATGGGTCCAAAGTTCATCCACCCATGGATTCATTTTCCAACATTCTTATCTCATTCAGTTTCACAAGGGGCTGGAGCCACAAACTGTTAGTGAAAGACACTCCAGTTACATCTGTGCAATATGGTTGAAATCCATTTTACAATATAATAAGAATATTTTTAATATCAAAGTTGATATGGTGATATGGCAAATGTAAGCAAAATCTCTTATTTGCATTACAGCAGACTAAAATTTACATCATCAACAACCAAAAAAAGTAATTATGTTGTGTTAAATATAATCAGGTTGACATCATTAATAATTTTGCAAAACCACAAAGCCATATGACCACTTTACCCTTAATATGAATCAAGAAATAAATACACATTTTTGTCCTATGGATCACAAGATCACACACTTCTTGCTGTCATATTTATTTGTAAACATTAGGCCATCATCAGTGCTACATTCCTGCACCGGGGACTCCTAACACATCCAGCACAAGCTACATTATAAGAATAGCAGTTGCATAATGGCATAATGGCAAAAATATTTGTCTGCAGTTAGTCTTCAAGAGAAAAAAGTTGAAGAACCTTTGACCTGGTATGCACTGTAGGTCATGTTCACATGGTAGAGCACCCTTAAAGCTCCTGTCCCGTGTGGTGCTGATTAATCACAGCATTATGACATCTGTCTGGCTTCAGCCCAGAAGAGATGTGTGAGGCATGCAATGCCTCAGCACTTCTCCTGGAGCTCCAGTGAGGGGGGTAGAAGGAGATGGGTGGAGACAAGTGGACAGTTGCATGGACAGACTTGAGACTCTGAATGCAGTCTGATGCAGCGCAGGCTCTATTTACGCTCCGACGGCTGCGGGATCCGGGAGCCGGATATATTTAGCCGCCTAGAGATATCACGGCGAGATGAGATTTCAAAGTGAAGTACCTGTTTGAAGATGCATGGCATTCCACAAGGGTGGGCAAGGGCTACTGGGTATAAATCTAGCACCCCTGCACCTGGTGTGAAGACAGGGAGGCACTGTGACACCTAAGATTTAGAATGACTTACACACAAGCCGTACATGTGTAAACTACACACTCATCCATATAAATTTACACACTACTTATGAATGGAAAAGACTAGACACATCACTTTTTAACCGTTTAAGATCCTCACACACGCATTTACACACACACACATACACAGACTGCATACTGCATTTCCCGCTGCGTCTTTTCCTCTTTGTTAAATCTAATTCCCTTGGATGTTCTCAGTGTCATCCATCATGGTCTGATAATGGCTGGAGGAGATCCTGAGAACCACAGGGTGAGAGGGAATAGAAACCACACTTTGTGGTGGATCACAGTCATCTTCTTCAGCACAGCTAAATGACACAAATTTGATAACATTGTCATGGAAAAGAGAATTGTTTTGTATGTTGACATTGTGCACAGGAGACTTATGACACCTCACTCAGTACTGAGAGTATGTCTAGCTTCCAGAGGCCTGGAAGGAAGCTAAAGCAATAAGAAGTACTGTCTTGCATTGTATGTGTCATTAATTCATTTCATAGTAAAAATATAAGATCATATTGATTCATCTGTGTTATCTCTATTGTTTCTGCTTGTGTTGTAATTATATCCAAGACAATTGTGTTGGTGTTTTCACACTTTTGTCAAGACTGTGTTGATGAAATAACTCAAAATATCTGATTACCCTCCAGATTTGAAGATTTCATTTTGAGAACAACTCAACCCAAATTTATCTTGGAATCAAGATTCACCTGTTTGCTCACAGATCACAACTTTGGTTTGTAGATAATGTCCCAAAGGTCTTGTTGCCCCAGTGAGGGGTATATGACTAGACCTAACCAGGGCTTCATTCCAAAGACGGGTATGATCTTGAGATATTAGAAGGCCTTGCTTGATCCCTTTTTGCTGTTGATCCCTCTAAAGGCAGCATCCCACAGGCAATTTCCTCCTTTGGAGGACACCAAAATAAAATCTTTATCGGGCGTCTCAGTATCTTCATGTCCACCCCCCTCTCACACACTCCCCATCCATCCATCTGTGGATGGAACAGAGGAATGACTCTCATGGACTCCCTCTTTGTGAGGAATTTGCTCGGGTGCAGATTAGATTTTCAGGAATCTGCAATGTCAATGACGCTTTACGCAGTTGTTAAACAGCAGGGCACGGTGTATGTGTCTGTTTGTGTGCGTGTGTGTGTGTGAGATCGGCTTGCTTTGTAAAGCCGCCACTTGCTTATTGCATTTCCCCTGAGCCTGAGACTCATTAATCAAAAATTCATACATGCCCTGTAAATACATGGAGAACACAGTCAACCCTCAGAGCACTCTGTGCCCCCCAGCACAAATGCTCTTTCATATTTCTGACAAAAATCCCCAAATGTGCTACCCCCTCCCTTCACCTCCCTCCTGTCCATTCAACCCTTCCTCTTCCTTTCCATCTTCCAAAGCTGAAGAATGTTGCCGGTCCTTTACTCCTGCATACTTGATGTTCCCGCTTTGTCCACACAGCCGGTCAGCCGTCCACTAAAAAAAAAAAAAAAAAAACATGGACGAACACACAGATCAGACAGGGGATCTAAATGATGCCTTTATGCGCTTTGCCATTGCTTTTCCATGGTAGAGAAGAGAACAGTTGAGGGATTCTTCTTCCTCTCTATCCATCCATCCTCACCTTTGCCCTGGCTCCCCACAGAAGGGACAGTTCCCTCCTTTAAAAAGCACAGCTCATCATAATACAAGAATTTGTATTGTACAGGAAAACAGTCCAGCATAGCTCAAACTAAGGGGGCAACAGACAGATTATCCATGGTAACAGAGCTTTGCACACAAGGATATTTTCTTTTCCTCACAGAGGAACACAATTGCTGCCAGTGTCACTGGGTCACATTTTTTCCGGTCCCTGGTTAATGGGCTGTAGAGATGGTTAGCACGTACGATTAGTTTTAATCTACTACATTTGACTGGGAGAGAAAGGAACTGAATACATTTCAGCACGCCACTGAGGTTTGTATCTAGCACAGAAAATGAAGCAAACTATTTTTTTTTTTTTTTTTTACTCTACCAGATTCACTTCAGATTCTTTGAGTGGACCCAAAAGAAGAATGCCGACTGAGAAAGTCAAACATTTTTACTTTATTCAGCGTTTCCTTCCAGCAGTGTAAAAAACAAGATTAATTTTGTAAGTTAACTTAAAAAAACAGACATGCAGGTGTTTCGATGAAAGAAAGTGAAAGAATAATATTCAACAGTACTTACAATACTTCAGTGTTTTTGAAGTGATGAATCAAAGTGCTTGAGGTTTGTAGCCTAACTTGTATTCTAGTGTGCTTCTTCACTTCGAGTTTGTTAACGTATAGTTATCATAAAAGTGTTTCGTAAAAACAACACATCATTTAGTCACTCACGGCTGGGGAATAAAATGGGAAAAATTAAATATGTTAAGAAAAATTAGATGCTAGAAAATCTCTTGTATGAATAACCATCCTTTAAACATTCTTTGAAATAATTGGCCAAAATTGTTAATTGTACACAACATATAATAATAATAATAAATATAATAACAAATAATAATTATGATTGGACAGTTGATATAGTATTTCTCTATACTGCAATGCAATATCAATTCCCTGAATTGGAGTGCTTTTCTAATTATTTGACCTCAGCTGCTGTTTAAATGTGTGTTAGATATACAGTATACACTACTGGTCAAAAGTTTAAGAACACCTTCATTTTTCCAGCTGTTATTGAAATTTACATAATTCAATGTCTCACTGTTTCTTAAATTAAAGCATAGAACAAATAAACTATTGGAGATTTTTTTTTAAAAAACAACAAGGAATCATGGAATCTTCTTGTTCAACTAAATTTAATCAAAATTTTGGACAAATCTTTCAGCCGAACACACTTGTGGTGTTCTTTCTACAATGAAAATCAAATATAGACCAAAAAGTTTGTCAACACTGCAGCAGAAGTTCCTGCAACTGCATCACCTTCTGTCCAGTTTTAGAGACTGTGCTGCTCTTCCATCATGTGAAGCCACCGTGTAGTTCTTTTCTTCTAATGTTTTGGGTCATTACGTTGCTGTAGGATAAAACCCTGACCAACCTTACTCGCCTTTTTTCTCGATATTATGATGGACAGTTCTACTTCCTGCAGTGCATTAATGCCCAAATACTACTTCAGCAGGTGTAGTAACAGTTTGTTCCAACACTGCCTTTGTACAGACACAGAGTTTGTCAGTAATCAACAAAAGTTTAGACATGTAGGAATTGTTTGCATCAACTTTCAAGGCTTAATTTACTTCCTTTTCTGCAGAGGCTCTTTAAGTTAAGTGAGTATGTGATGCCTGAAAAAGGCCTGAAATTTCAATAAAAACTAGAAAAATGGGGGTGCTCTAAAACTTTTGACCAGTAATGTACATACAGTACATACTATTACATCCAAAGTATCCTTATGTAAAGGGTAATTAATAACAGATGGTGCTTAGTGAGGTGTATAACAAAACACCATTATCACTTTGACAAACTCTCCTGATACCACTGGTCACTTTCACTACGATGCATAACATAGTCAAAATTAATACCACTCAAAAACACTAAGACAAGCAAACAATCATATCATCACACAACATCATCATATATTATTGCTAAGAGAAAGAAATGAGCTTTAGTGTGAATGAAAAAAGAAAATTTCCCTCAGAGCATGTGCTTGTGTTGCTGAGGTGTCTCAGAGAGTTGCAGAATTTGTCTCTTGATGAAATGTTTTTAGCAGAGAAGTTTGTAAAAGTTAGGTAGCTTCGCCTATTTTCAGAGAGCCTGTGGCCTATATCATTTAAGGCTTTTAACACACTTCTGTGTGACCACTGCTAACCACACAGAAACATCATCTAAATACTACAGGTGTAGTCCTTTAAAACCTTTTAAAGTGGACCAACACTGCGTTTAGTCATAGTTACTACTGCTCTATGACACTGTTAGCCTTGAATTCACAAAGCACGTCAATGTGGGAGTGCTGAACTGAACCTACTCAAACCCCTTTGGTAGTTCAATATTATGTAATGTGCAAAAAATCCTTCACTAAATCTCACAAAATCTGGTGTGTTGATAAAGTCACCATCAACATCTTGTCGTAAGATGTCCATAGAAATTCAAATAATCTTGACAAATGAATAGTGTTGCTCTAAATGTTGTACATGGGTATATAAAATTGTTAGGTCATTAAATTCAGCAGAGCACCAAGAACTTTCCCAAGGCTTCCTGACAAATGATTCAGCTATCGCTAACATTGCCCGGCAACAAATACAAGTCCAACCAGTTAACAGCAGTTTTGTCTAAAATTGCTCAGCAACAAAGTTTCCAGGACCTATAGACTGAATTATTGTAGTTTGAAAGAGTTCAACAACCTTCAATGTCACAACCGTGTCAGACACGAGGCTCCACATACTGAGCAGTTTGAATCTTAAAAAATAGGAAGTTCCCTGTCAGTAGTTTTTTAAACAGTGCTGTTAAAGCAGCACAAAGTCCCCAGCCGTGGTCACCGTCCTCCTTGGGTCACGGATGAAGGGCCATTCTCTCTTCTCTGGGGTCAGGCCTGCCGACAGGTCGTAATCTCTGCCATGACCTTGCACGAAAGTGAACGCTGGGTATTTCTCCTTCGCTGACGGCTGCAGCACCTGGAACGACAACAGACCTGTGTTTCAGGGGAGCGCTAGGGTTACGCCACACTGTACATTTCACAGCAATTTATGTTGAATCAATTCAACACTTAACATAACAAGAAGCATATTCTCTCTCGGGCTGCAACTATAGAAATAGAGTCCTCTAAGCAGACGCATGATATGTTTAAGGAGGGAGTGCTGGTTTACAACATCTACACAATCTACAACTGGTAAGTAAGCAGGAAAGAAGTGAGTTAGATTCATGGCTAAATGCTGCCACCTACTGGTCAACGTCTATTATACTGAAACAAACATTTGCTAGTACACAAAACAGAATTAATATACAGTAGTATTTAAATTATGATTATACTATTTGTGAAATGACTAATAAAATAATGACATTTTGGAGTGATATTTAAGGCATCCTGTGTTTTTGCAGCATTCCTCACCTTAGACAGCTCTTGGCTGATTCTCTCATAGTCCTGGATACTTCTAGAGTAGAAACCTATGGTGCAGCTTGGGTCCATCTTGCTGAAAGGCATCTTCTTTGGTGAGGGGCAATGATACGACTAGACAAAAAGAGACAAGATACATCTGAAAGTATTCATCAAGCTGAAGGGGCAGGTAACTGCGGGGCATACATACACTCCATGGCAGCGTCAACACAAAATAAGCTGTATTCTGCATCATTTGATGAATGAAATCTTATTTATCTGCTGTCACAGCATCCATAAATTTACAACTCTGGTGTGTGTCACATTGTATACCACGGCATGCAAAAGCATAAAACAAAGTTGCCATACTGTGCTGTGAGCTGATTTTTATGTATGGGTCCTGAAATATTCAGGCTCACAGTACCTGATCCTGTATTTGCCATATTTCTCTTAAGTGGCAGCTTCACACATCTGAGCAGCAAATAAATCAGCAGATAGGGACTCTGTAATTGGGCCGAGGGCTGCTTTAAGATTCATACCCTTAAGTACTAACAGAAACTATTAAATTCACATTACTGGGACCCCAGTCAGCTCGTCTGTGTAATTTCACATTACCTGGAGAGGGAAATCGCTGGTGCTGACATCCACAAAAGACTGACAGTAATGAGGGTCCATGTAAATCAAGCTGTCATCTGCAAGGACAAAACAAAAGACAAGTTATTCAAAAACATCGGATTATTACAAAAACGCACTTCTCTCCAATTTCTATGCAGAGCAGCTCAAAGTCACCCGCTCGGTCTACTGTTAGGCTTGTGTGCGTCAAATATGCCTCCCAGAAGGTTGTTGCTTTTTAATATCCACCAGGGTGGATTAAATTCTGCATAATCAAATGCGTTTGTACAAGCACATTCTTTACACCCACAAAAAAGAGGTTGTCATTTAATTTTTGTGTGGGGGAATTACTTTTACAAACACGCAATTATATTCGACCATTTGCATATGATAAATGCAGCGCTGAGCTGAGCCTTGGCAGGGAGAATGTATTGCTTGTCATTTAGACATCATCCACCACTGTATTTCAAATTGGTAAAATGTAAATGCGTAAATATTGACTGCCAAGATGTACAACTGAAGGTTCCTCCTGGCTCCTGAAGGTGATGAAGAGTGGCTCACTTTGGGGCCAGATGAAATTTAATGCATGCCTCCTATGGAAATCAATTACAGCTTACAACTTGGGAGGTTTACTTGTGATAAATGGGTGAGGCTTTGATGGGTCAGAGAGAATAAAGTAAGCCCTGCTTCACTCGCTTCCATCTCCACTCCTCTCCGTTTTCCTCATGCAAACAGGAATACATTAACTTACTTTGTCTCTTCACATAAGAAGGGTATATTATGCAAAATAATCTGCTATTCACGCCAACCCCTGTCTGTGTGTCTTTCTCTTTTTTCCATTAAGCTAACACTAACCTTGAAATCCTACAAAGTAGCAGGCCTGTTTGGGCTTCCCTCCGATGATGCCTATGCAGTACTCCAAACTCAGTATGCTCTAAATGAACAGAGAAGGACAGAGAAACAAACATACTGACTCAAAACCTAAATACTGCCATTTTGTGTCCTACATTCTGCATTTCAGTGATTCTAAAACAGATATTTTAAGCTCAACGTTCACTGCAATAATCATTTCCAATTTGAGAATATAATTACTCTTTACTCCTGTGAAGCCGCTAACTGGCTTTGTTCTTAAATATGTGAGTGTGCATGTAAAACCCTGCCATCAAACATAAAATCTAAATTTATTTCACTAAAACAGAGTTCTGAAAACTACCCTAACCTTCACGTATGCCTCACCTTCGCAAAGTCAAAATAGTCAGGGTTTGTCTTCTCCCCTCCCAGCCTCACAGGGATGAGGATGATGACGGCTCGGCTGTCTGGCAGGGTGGAGGCAGACGCTGGTTGGTTGTTCTGTGGCGAAGGAGGGGCATCTGATCTCTCAGCAGAGGCCTGCCCTGCTGTTGGTGCCCTGTGGCTATCAATGACATCAGCACTGTACACTATGGAGGATCAATAACACAAAGGTCAGATGGAAGTCATTTTGTCTATGTCTGTGTCTGTCTGGTCAATCTATCAGCTGTTCTGTCTGTTCATCAGACTCTCACTCAATCAGTACAGATTTTTTGTAGCATTCCAGTTTTTTAATATGAGCATCATGTCTTCATGATTATGTTTTTGTCTATGAGATTCAAAGTTCTTCTTTCTCATAATCATCTGCAAAATTGTCTAAATATATGCATATTATAATCATATGGTGGTAAGAGTTTATTATATTTCTCATAAATGTCATTTCATTTTGAAATATTTCACTGTATGTCTTAAAATGAACAACAAACACTTCATCTCTCTCGTTACATAATCACAGGTGTCTTTCTTATGTTTGGCACGTGTGTCTTTTTGGTTCAATCAATCCCTCTGAAAAATAGTTTGATTCTATTTTTGCTCTTTTTGAATGACAGTTACATTTCCATAAATAGGGTATATGCACGGTCCATTAGGGCAGAGCCCAAGGTAATGTTTCTATATCACTTGTTTTGTCTGAACAACTGTCCAAAACTCAAAGAGATTAAATCAACATTCATATAAAACAGAGAAAAGCATCAAAATAAAAGACTAATGATAAGCCACTTTTAACAATTCATAATTGATTGTCAAAATTTCTGACTATTAATTTAGTTTTGTGTTTTAATTGAGATTTTTTTAATCAAGTAATCATTTCAGTACTAAACTCCATTATGCACATTATGTATGTATGGTGCACAAGTTAAAGTCAAATATCAAACTCTTAACAATACACCAAGACTATCTACTCACTCCAGCTATCCTCTGCTCTGGCATTTGAGAGGACAAACATGAATCAAAACACAGGTCAGCGGGGTTAAGAAGAGGTTGGAGTGGGTGGTCATAGATTTGGAACGGACACAGTTAAACTCATGTCACCACTCTTTGCAGCTCCACATTCCCCCAGCAGCAGCAGAGAGTGAGTGGAAAAAGAAGGGTCAGTTGTGTTGTGCCCAGCATCCTGTTTTATCATCAACAGGCTCATCTTTCATACCTGTACAGTCCTGGGAGACATAGGCAGTTATACCCGCCAAGCCAGGGTCCATCGCCTCCTCGACAGCTTTCCTAAGAGAGAGGGAGAAACAAGTGAGGAGGATAGAGTAAAGAGAGAGAAAAGGGGCGAGGGAGGGAAGTTTATATCTGGAGCTTAGGCTACTTAAAGATCAGGGCTTCATATGTCATTGTGAACTTATAAACACTGATATTACTGATGTAAAAATTAGTTAACTGGTATCGGATTAGTGCATCTATTCAAAGATATTTTTACCACAGTATATTTGAATAAGTTAAGGGCTTGAAATTCATTGGCATCTTCGCAAATAATCACCTAGTCATGGATGCACATGTTACTCAGTGGCAGCGGGTGTCGTCACTAGCTCAACTGCATTATATTTATTCATCTGCATGCTGTTTATATTGTTTATTTTTTGTTCATTTATTATACTGCAAACATGTATAATATAATAGCCATCCCCAGGCTTTGTAGCGGGTGCAATAATTCAACAACAACCACGTCACCTATGCACAGTTACAGTTACAAGGAAATATGTAACAGTTACAAAAAACTGAAGTCTTGCAGCAATATATATATATGTATGTATAATATATTTTAATCCAATGTTTTGCCACAGTCTTCCTCTTCACTTAGATACTACCTATCCATGCCCCATAATTTTGATTGAAATATTTAAGTAATTTATTATGTAAAGATACCACATTTTACATTTTGTATACATACTAAATAATAGATTGATTGAATGATAGATTGAATGACCAAACAAACCCTCATCTGTATATTCATCAATAACAAAAATGAATAATTAGTTGTTCTCTAAGCAATATTAAATCATTATGTGCTTAAAGACAGAAATAGCGTGAATGTGAGTCATATGCAAGATTTCAACAAGTGTAATTACTCTCAGGTCACTGAGAGAATGTGTCCTACCTTAGAATGTGTGCCACCACAGCAGGTCCATACCAGTCTCCTGCCTGTCTCCCCATCGTCAGGCCTAAGCGGACCAGCCTGTGGAGTCCCAACTGAGCCGAGGGGCTGTCCCCAAACCAGGATACCAGTGTGCGGTGGTACATCTCTTTCAAATGTGCATCTGCCTCCTCTGCAGATCTTGGGGCCTGGGCTTGAGGCATGGGTGGTAATCCAGGATCAGGGGGCTTGTGAGAACCTTGCAGAGAAGACTCCAGAGAAGCAACCAGACGTTTGGCTGCAGTGGTTGTCCACGTCTCTGTGTCTAAAGCCTGGAGTGTCAGTGCTTCCGACCAGGTCCAGTCTGTGGAGGAAAAAGATCATGTGTAAAACATCAGCTACAATCAACATTATAGAGCAAAAACAAAGTGATATTTTATTATTAAATCACCTATTGGAACCATGTTAGTAGACTTATGACTGTATTTCTTAAACGACTGATGATACATGGAAAGATTAATATCCTCATCTTTCTGTGGACACAATTTTAATATGACTATTTGACTGCTTCTTGGCAAAATCCTGAACCATTTACGCTGGTTGATGAAGGCATCAGGCAAGAAATCACAGACAACAGTTTCCTATCACTTTGAGATGAATAATATTAATCCCCATTTGCTGCCACCCTCTCAAAAACACTTATGATAAAACTCCATACTTCTAGTGTGACATGACAACACAGAAAATAGATAAACAAATTATACAAAGAATCAAAGTCTTACTTGTAGAACAAGAACAGTCTATAGGTCTCCCAAACCTGATAACAGCAATGGAAAATAAAGAAAGACACCTACTTGACCAGTATCTATGAGGCTCTCTGGTCCTGATCATTCAACACATTAAAGTTCCATTTAGCCCATATCCACTAAGAACAAAAAGTCTTTCAGAACTTGAAATTGAAAGGTTTTTGCCTTAAACAGACAGAACCTTGTGTGCTTCTGTGACAGGATATGTGTTTCTGTTCAATTACAGGTTTGAGTGTCCCAGTATTTCACTTTAACGGTGCCTTAGCCTTACAAACAGGGTGGGAGCCAAAGGCGGAGAGAATGGGAGTGGCCCAGGCTATAAAATGGACCAGAGTAGAGTCTAAGTCATTAACAAAATGACCTTGATCCAAAGTGAATCAAAGTGAAATTGATCAATAAATATCCTTAAGTGGCAATTAGTCACTTTATAGAGAAATATTTCATCAGTGACATATTTTAGATTTGACAGAAGAACAAGTTTTAAATATTGTTTTCTAAATGACTGCATTAAACCGGTACTGTCATCTCATTATGTGGAGCCATAAAGTCTAGGACACTTCACAGACAATAGATCTCACAAAGATGTGAGGAATTCACTCATCTTGAATGGCTCGCATCTACTAAATTAAACTTTCTGTTTAAAGTTGAGAATGAGGAAACTCTCAAAGTGGCAATAAGTCTGTCTTCCTGCTTAGAAAAAAAGAAACTGAACTAAAGTGGAATGAAGAAACTTAATATAAAGATACATTCAGTGCATTTCAAAATGACCTATAGTATTTGACTTCACCCACTTAATCCATCTAGTTCTGTATTATATAATGAAGACTTTTGCTGATGATTATCGTCTGTCTCGTCTGTATGATTATTGTCTGTCTCCACATTCATATACAGTAGTTCCAAAGATGAACACCTGGGAGCTACAGGGTACAAGCAGTGTCCAAATATCTTCCGCTTTTAGTCAAAGGCACTTCAACACTGTCTGTTAAATAAGGGGTTTGAGATACTAATGTCCTTTTCAAAACCAAAATTTTCCAGCTTTTCCGAGGATTCAAATCACCAACCTTCCAGCCAAAAGCACCCTTCTCCAACCTTTAGTCAGGGGTTCCCAACCTTTTTAGCGAGTGAAATAAAATAATGTCTATGTGTCACCCTGTTGAGTTTAAATCACTTTCAGAGCCCTGAAAGGTGAAACCTATATAATGTCACTAGAAATGAGATTAGAGAATCTGAAAAGAAATTTTTAAAAATTAAAATAATTTTGTGTATAAGGAATATATTTTCTATTCTCTCCTATCCCATTGATCAAATTTTCACCCCTCAGATTTATCCACTACTTTTGACTGCCACATGCTTAGCTGTGACTTTAAACTGAGAACAATCAAACTCCACTTTCATCATTTTTGCCCACACTTTTCATTCATCTCATTACACCACTGTGAGGGGTTTTAGTGTACCTCAAGTGTGGCACCATGATTTCACTCACCTCTGCCCAAGAAGTGCAGAGTAAGTGCCTGAGCCAGCATCATCTGTCCAGCCCTCAGCATGCATCCCCAGCCACAGTCGGAGGTCAGGGTGGAGCCGGGCAAGGGAGAGAACTCCTCCCTGTAGGTCAGCCACACTCGAGACGCAAAATCCTTCCGGAAAGCCTCCACGTTCCCCATGACGAAGTCCTCCTCAGAGGCTTCATAGCAGGCCTCTGTGAGCCTATTGTCATCTGAGGCAAACAAATGACCATGGGATCAACTCAGGATTTGCACTTAACTTTTTTCATCTTGTGTCCTGTGGAGATGATAAATCTACTGGTTCAAGTTAATCATGCATTAATTTTAAATTGTGTTTAACTTTAAATATTTGTATAAGACCCTCCAAACATTGTGCAAAGTGCTTGTCTGACAATATCTACTGAGACAATGATTTCCTAGTTAAGGTCAGACACAAGTTAATACTGAGACTAAACCAGTTAGTCAACATCATTTTGGTCCCTCCCATTAGATACAATAGCAGAATGAAGTGCTGGTAAATAATTTACTTATATGTTTACTTCCTTAATCAGATGGCAGTTATTATTCTGAGGTTAAGAGGAGGATAAATTGACAGATATAGTAGTTTGTTTCTATGTAGCTTGAAACAGTGCTTCTTTGTGACATCTTGCAGGGTGAAATTGTTGCATATTTAAGCATGTGAACATCATTACAGGGCATGCACTGTATAATTATGTAAGTATGTGTTTTAACTGCAGTTGCTAGCAGTTGTTGTGTGTGTGCACTGTACCTTCAGCCTTAAAATGGTAACATTTTCCCAGAAGAAGCACTGGGGAATTTCTACTGAACGAGGTCTTTGATTTCAGAGCCCAACCTAAGATACACAATAAAAAGACAAAGTGCAGGTAGTAGCCATTATGTTCATTAGGTAAACAGAAACAGCAGAAACTTTACTATTAGTGAACTGAAATAATACACAAAAAACTAGTGTGGATAGTATGACAAGGAACTATTTTAAGGTCTGACTCAACAGCAGTATGTTCTTGTCTCATTGAATTCTGGTGCATATGTTTATTTGTACTGTCTCCTGTGTCCACAGTACATGCTATTGTTGATATCTGCATTTCAGTAGTACAAATTTCAGTTTAGATAAGAAAGATTGTGGACTATATTGCAATGACAGATCGAAAGCACAGCAGTGATGCATGTAAGCATTAGAAAACAAAGTGGACACAGGGGACTGAGCACGGGTGGCAGGGCTGTGTGTGTGCTGGCCTCAAGCAAATTACTTACTGTACTTCACATTGTGCCAAACTGACAAGAACTTTGTCTTCAATTTTTCCACCTCGTCGCTCCCTTTATTCTCCATTTGAACCAGCAAGGGATGGAACCCATTCCCACACAGCTTACAAACCTTGGTGCACAATGGACACACACAAATGTTCACAGAGTTGCGAGTAGCAGTATCACTTCGCAATTAGAAACTACATGAAATGACAGCTTGCAGTGAGGACGCCGTTACCTGAGCTTCTTCGACCCAGCTGTTCTCCACTCACAGCCGCTTTGTAGCTCCGTACAAGAGTTCAAACGTCACATTGTGTTATAAAGATAATCTAACGCACCGTCTATCACCCATGATTCGCTCTGTATCTTACCACTGCCCTGCGATCGCCAATGTTTACACTTTGAGGAAGTAGAAGAGTCAAGTCAGCTGATCTCGCGGTGTTTCCGTTGTGTTCTCCGGGACCAAGGTCTTCAGTAGCTCGATTTGAAAATCAAAGTAGCCCGAGCGGGCGGCGTTTAAAAAACAGTTTCTCCATGAAGTAATGCCGTCTTAAATGAATATCCCGCTTGCTTTGGTTATTTCTTGGAGCAAAACAAGCGCTTTTTGTTGTACAAAGGCAGGACCACGATTAAAATGCAAGATCAGATCTCTGGCACCTTCATCGCATCACTTCTAATTTTCCCCATTACATTGCTGTTATTACAATGCAGTGTTGATGGTCATCTAAAAATAACTACCTTTATTTTGATCATGGCTACATCGAAGATCGTAAGATCATAATCAACACTTACCAGTGTAGGAATTTTACCAATTAAGGTGATACAATTATGTTGATTAGTTGATTTTTTTTTATGTTGATTTTTTCTAGTTGTTACTGAAATTGGGCTAATTTCATTAACTTTTTGCTACTTTATTATTTGCCATTTACCATTTTATCAGTTGACACTTTTGTGTAGAACCATAGTGTGTGTTTGCTGTTAATTTTTGTTTGTCTATGCTAATACTATAAATTTAGTTTGGTACACAGACCTATCTTGAAAGATGAGCTCCCGATAACAGTGACAACTCTTAGATGTCTTTTTTTTTTTTTTTTTTTTTTTTAAATTAAGCTTAAACTAAACATCTTTCTTTGTTTAAGAAAAGCACAATAATGTTAATGCTTGTGCCTTACACATTTTGTATTCTCTTGTTGGGTTTAATAAAGTCTTTACTGCAGTGAAATCTGATATACATTTATATACAGTCTATGACATTTATATTACAGAATACAGAAGATGGAGCATACAAATCTAGTGGAAAGCCGTTAGACCTGAGAAAAAAGATTAAAAAGTAAATGTAAAAACCACTAGCAACAAATATAAGTGCTACTGAAAGTTTAATCTAGAGCAACGTTTAGACAATTCAGCGATTAGTTAATTAACAGTAAAATTATTTGGCAGCTGTAGAAAATTAAATAGTTGTTGTCATTTTTCAATTGTTAGTTGCTAATTTTCTGTTACTAATTTGAGAGTGGGAAAAATCTGGTTAAATTAAGTTAAAATATTTAAACTTTATCCTTTATATTGTATTCATTGTTGCATTATGTACAAAGGATTTAATGCCTGTCTTCCACGAAAAAAAGAAAAGTTTGAAATAAAATTGACATCAAAGTATGGGAATTGTTGTTTTAGGATGAATGTGTAGGGTGTCCAGATTTCAAGAAGAAATAATCAGACAAAAAGAAGGCAAATTAATATTCCCCCTGTTCCACATTTCTCAGTACCAATGCATTTAGCAATGTAAATGGGTGAATCTTATGTAAAATCTTTAAATGAAATTGTCCAGCTGCTGGAGTGTAGCTTTATTCTCCATAATATAGTGCGCAGGAGCTTTTCATTGGGTGTGTTCTGTTGCACATCATTATGGTCATTACGGTAACGATTCCATTCTCCCGTTTGCCCGTTTTCCCTGTGGCCGTAGTGAGTGAGTGGAAACCGGAGCCTGCTTGCTTCCTGCGTGCCTGCCTGGGAATTTCGTTAAAGCACATCAGCGGCCACTGCCATGGCTGAACGCCGCGCCTTCGCCCAAAAAATCAGCAGGTAAAGACTTGAGACCCCGAAACGAGCTCGTAAAAGACACACCGAGCACTTAGTCGCTTTTATATAGGTCGCCCTTAGACCACCGCTGAGGGAACCCAGTGAAGGAGGCCCAGCCGCCAGCACAGCCTGGCTGCTCCGAGCTAGCCGCTTGTTAGCCATAACGGCGAAGATGCTCAGACCCACCCAGACAGACAGCGGCACTGAATGCCAACAAAGAGGCGAGATGTAATATCTTTGTAATGAATGTATCCCGACAGAGAGGAGTTAGTTTTTTAATAATCACACGCACCCAAAGGCAATAACTGTAAATTGTAAACCGTTAATTTTGGACAGCTAGTTAGCTATCTAGACTACAGTAGCTAACGATGGGCTAGGTTATGCTGGCTCTGGTAGAGATGTGACTGAACTTTGTTGAGGTATATTTTAAGCAAGACCTCATTTACTTACAGGAGTGAGCAGACATTTGTAAAACGGGAGATGTGGAAACAAAAGCCTCCCTCAGCAGCTATCAAACAACGATATTATAATCTTCCCCGCCCCTTAGACAGATTAAAGTAATCTCTTTAACAAAGGGCTTTGTGCTAGCTGTCAAATACCATCATCCCAGTCAGAGGATAGATAGATAGATAGATGGATAGATGGATAGATGGATAGATGGATAGATGGATGGATGCAGTGCAATGCTCAGGGAGAGATGAACTGTTGTCTCCCACAGCTATCAACATAAACATGTTTTAGTCATTGTCCCTGCTGATGACTTAATTCACAGTCAGCCAAGTCATTCTAGTATTAAGCAAAAATAATTATATTTGCCATCTTGGTTTGGTTTTTCTCTGAACCAGTATCGGGTGAAAATGAGATGGATGGAATAATATTTTACGCCCTTCTGGTGAGATTATCATGAAAATCTAAGGTTTTTGGAAAGGAAAAATGCCTGCTGTCACTTGTCTTCTGTTTCCACGTGGAAAAAACTGTTGATTATTACAAAGGGCCCTGCATATCAATGTGACTGATTTTTCTCTTTATTTTAAGATTGTAAATCTAGTTGAGCCTAGTTTCTTTAACATAAGTTAAAAATTCAACAAGATCATTGGGTAGTACAGATTGGATTTTAAAGTTGTTGCTGGTGTGGTCATACAGACTTCAATTTCATTGTAGACGTTAAGACTGGAGGGGCATGCATTTCTATTATAGTGTGAATCCAGCTCCCATTAATCACAACCACATCTTATTATTGGAATTTCATATTGATTATGTGCACTGGACATATCATCATGGCAGGTTATTCAGACACGATGATTTGCTGATGCCTAATTGGAGTCAACAAACAAACCTACTGATGACACAATCATACCACATGTACCATACAATGTAATGCCAAGTATTACCACAACATCACAAACTATAGCCTAGAAAGTTAACGTAGAGATTAGGCAGTAACTTTACAACACAACCTCAATAAAAAAAAATAACATAACCTTCACGAAGAGCACATTTATTGTTGACAGATTGCATTGTTTCTCACTGACTCTTAGGTTAGTGGACACAGTTTACCTTGCTGATATTAACCATTCAGCAGTGAAAAAAGATCTCTATTCTACCTGCTTTGGCTTGCCTTTTATAATGAAAGTGGCTTATGTTGCATGTTGAGGCTAAATTAGTGACTAAAATTACAAACAGCTTCACCTCGAGGCTTAAATCACATGTTTCAGTTGAATGGTTTGCTTATACCATGACCTTCAATTGCAACCAGTTTATACTTTGTTCCTGGGAGGAGTTGTTCTCAACTTCTTGAAATGCTAGCCGTAAGAGCTGTTTATTTAATGAAGTTCTTCTGCTGTGCAGTGACCAGTGCTAAGTAAAGGTCTGGTAAAAGGCATTGGGGAGGACTGTGGAATGTGTTTGTCAGTTCAGCGCTTCTGCCTTTCTCCAGTGGTGACAGCCCTGCACTGCAGAGGCCACCGGATCTTCAGTATATTTATGATTGAGCAGAGATGAACTCAGCACTATAGTGGCAGTGGAGAAACCAGACCCAGGTTTGATGTTTGCAATGATCACACTGACTCGATCGTTGCTTTCAGGATGGAGCAAAGAGACAGTCAGGAAAATTGGACAGCTTGTTGGTTATGAAGAGAAGTGTATTGATAAAACATAGTTGATAATAACCGTGGATCCTCATAGACTCTGTGTTACTTGTGCAACATAACCTTGAGTCTTTTGTGTCTGGCCTTTTTCCTTGGTTCTAATTTGTTATTTGTTTGTGACTCTTTGGGCTACTTGCTGCGCTGTTGTTTTGTTCAAGGCAAAAGTCTTTGAGTGGTTTTGGTGGTTGCTGTGATTTAAAGGACCTGTGTATGTGAGTGGCTACAGCAGCAGTTGAACACCAAGAGCTTTGTGCTGACCACTCGGGTAGAGGTTTTTATTTGTTTCTATCCCCTCTGCCTCAGTGTAATATATGATCCTGTCCGAGGCGACACTTGAAGACTATTGAGCAGACACACAAAGAGAGAAGTATAAAAGGACAAGAAGCGTAATCCTCAATGTTAAATAGTCTTGTCTTTTTGGGCAGTTTAAGGCATTTATGTAGAAATGTGCAAAATGCAGTAGCATGAAGGAGTCTTTGTATTACTTAGTTCAACAGCACTAAGTCTCGCCATGTGTAACTTTGGATTTGAATCATAAAATATCTCACATTACAATATTATGGCATAATATATAACCACTTTGTTATAACATCGCAATTTCTTATGTTTTGCTGGATTAACAGTTATATGCTGAAATAAATAAATCAGTATTTTATTGCTCTTTGTATTTCATTTTCATGGTTAAAACGTCAAATTTCTCCTGGGCTTCAGGGTTAAAGGCTTTAATTAAAATATGAGGTGAAATTTTCGTAGAGGCTTTTCATTTAGTATTTTATTCCCAATTATTGCCTGCCAGATTACAACAAGGGGTCAGACAAATAATGTACTTTATATTGCAATATGATATTTAACAACTGGCACCCATATCTCAAATAGATTTTTTCTGATACAGACACAGATGCATTTTCTTACCTGTACAGCTAACATTTGAGATCTGAACTGTACTGCACTCTGGTTGTGTCATACATGACTGCCTTGCAGTCATAGAAAGATGTCTTTCAGCATGTCATTGCAGAATCACTGGTATTTGGATCCTGTCATTATTGTGGATGAAATATTGTGATATTATTGTCTTGTTGTGTGAACCCTCTCTTACTTCCTTTACCTTTCCTTCCTCTGTTTGCAGGACTGTGGCAGCAGAGGTCAGGAAGCAGATAGCTGGCCAGTATGGGGGCTC